GACGGATCGAGAATCATCAACCAGTACAAGATCACCGAGGTGATCGGACGCGGCGCCTACGGAACCGTGCGCAAGGCCATCCTCACCGACGACCCGAGCGTGCAGTTCGCGGTCAAGGAGTTTGGCAAGACGCGGCTGCGCAAGACGCATCGCGCCGTCAGCCTGCGCAAGCCGCAACGCCGCAACCCTCTAGGCATGGCTGATCGCAGCGATCCGTCGCACGCCCAGGCCCAGGCTCAGGACGAGAGCAAGGACCCGCTCACCCACATCCGCCACGAGATCGCCATCCTCAAGAAGCTGCACCACCCACACGTCGTGCAGCTCTACGAGGTGCTCGACGACCCCAGCAAGGACAGCCTCTACATGGTCTTTGAGTACTGTCCCGACGGCACCGTCATCGACATCAAGCTCAACCAGCGCGTCCAGCCGCTGCCCGAAGACGTGGCGCGCCTCTACTTCGTCCAGGTGCTCATGGGCATCGAGTATCTGCACGAGAACGAGATTGTGCACCGCGACATCAAGCCGGACAACATCTTGCTGAGCAACGACCGCAAGACATGCAAGATCGTCGACTTTGGCGTGTCCGAGATGTTCATCAAGCCGGGCGACGACACCATGCAGAAGTCGGCGGGCAGTCCGGCCTTCATGAGCCCCGAGCTGTGCACCGCCGGCCACGCCGAATACCACGGCAAGTCGGACGACATCTGGTCGTTTGGCGTCACGCTCTACTGCATGTGCGTCGGCCACCTGCCCTTCCAGAAGGACAACTTTTACGAAATGTACGAGGCCATCAAGAACGACGAGCCCGAGCTGCCGGCGCACCTCTCGTCCGATCTCGCCGACCTGCTGCGCCGCATGCTCGCCAAGGATCCCGAGCGCCGCATCACCGTGCCCGAGATGCGCCAGCACGCCTGGACGCAGCAGGTGGACGACGGCATCCTGCTCTCCAAGGACGACAACCTCGAAAAGGTGGTGAGCGAGATCACCGACGAGGACCTCGACTGCGCCATCTGCAAGATCACCAACATCTTTACCTTTGCCCGCGCCATCTCGCGCTTCAAGAAGGGCGGCTCGGTCAATCGTGCGCGCCGCGAGGCCTCGCGCTCGACGTCCGGAAGCAGCAATCGGGACAGCAGCTGGTTCCCGCCGACGACGCCGAGTCCGGACAAGCCGAGCCGCGCCGCAACGCGCGAGACGAGCACGCACGACGACGAGCCCAGCGCGGACGTGGCAACGATCAAGGAGGAGACGCCTACGCCGGGAGGGTATGGCCAAGCGGAGCGCCAGGAGACGCCACGAGCCGAGCCGAACGATGCGGCCGAGGTGGAGGAGCTGCAGAGTGCAGCGGCGTGTATGTTTGACTCTCCGCAGATGCACACGTTTGAGCTGCCGCACCAGGAGCCCGATGGCAACGGTCCATTGCAACGCAACCGTTCCGGGCCCATTGCTACGCTGCACCGCGATGCATCCGATGCTGCAGGGCCGCCGGTGATAACCACCGAGTCTCCACGCTCTGCATCGCCCGAAATCTTTTCCTCACCAACCTCGACGCAGCTGCCGGCGTTCCAGCGCAGTGCGAGTGACACGGACGATGTTGCGGCGCAGATGGCGAGTATGGATGTGCACGCCTACTCGAGTCCCGGCAAGGACGGCGAGGGCCCGCGGCATGCGCAGTCGGTGCAGGAGCGAGCTGCGTCGCTGGGCAAGAAACCGTACCACCCCAAGCCCAAGCTGCTGCCGGACCAACCGACGTTCAAGAGCCCCCGCAACGACACGCTCGACACGCCACCGGGCGCCAGCGAGCTCTACGCCCAGAGCAACCCAAGCGCAGAGCAGAGTGCCCACAGCGAGCTAGACGACAATCCGTACTTTGCTGCGGCTAAAAACGTGCGCGAGGCTCAAGATAAGCCGTCGGCTACATGCTAGATCCCAGCAATCCTAGACCTTTGGCAATTGCTCATCTCTGACTGACAACACGCGAGAGTCGGTGGAATCCAAACTGCTCCGGAGTGAGGATTCTGAGGGCTTGCGAGTGCAACACTGCATTGAGCGTGTCTCTATCATTTCACACAATAGTTGGACACAGACGAGGATGAGGAGAAGACAATTGAATGCTAACCGAACTTGCGGGGTCTTGTTTTGATACTTGGTCATAGATCGCACATTACTTCTTCTTGGGACCGCCGAGGGGAGCACCGATATCCTTGCCTCGCAACTTAACTCCGAGAGCGCGTTCCATCTTTGCCAAGATCTGCGGGTTGGGTACAGCCTTGCCGCTTTCGTATTCCTGGATCACCTGGGGTTTCTCGTTGATCTTGGTTGCCAGATCCTTCTGGGTGAGGCCCTTTTCCTGTCTCTTTTGGCCGATCGTCTTGCCTACGGTGGGAGCAACCTTGGGGGGAGGTGCAACTTCGTTGTCCCTGTCGAGCTTTGCGATGCGCTGGTGATCCGTTCCGACGTGGCCCTTGTTGGTACCCGCCGTGACTTTTCGATCGAGGTCCGTGATGGCGCCAACTTGCTTGGCTCGCTCGTATGCGGTAGGGCCAGATGAGCCGCCAGAGCCACCGGAAGGTCGAACACCCCGACCAATCACGGTTTTGCTGTCCCAATCAGTGTTCGACATGTTGAATAGTGTGTAGGAGAGTGGTTGATGGTAGGTGGTGGGAAACGTAGAAGGCGGTGTGAAGTCATCGCAGCAACCATCGCCTCCACCCGCGAGCGGAACCCCGCTCAGCACCAACCACATGATTACATAAGCTGAAGATGCAAAATGACTCCATCGCCTCCACCTCACCACCACTTCCATCTCTTTCTCCACCGTTCCGTCCGCCCCCTTTTTCCTCGAGTTGTGCAAAATTTCGATCTCACATTTTGGCAGTTTCCCGCGCATCCTTTCGACACCATACACGAAACACAAGGCGACACTTTGGATCCTCCCGGAGCAGTTTGCGCCAAGGTACCGCACAGGATCTCCGTACGGCCGGCGATTGTCTCTCCGCTACGCCAAACATGCCGGGCGCTCGACGCAAAAGAGGAGCATACAACCAACGAAGAAGAAAAAAACCTAGCCAGTCTCCCGAGGCGCTACACTCACCACGAGCTACAAGAATGAATCGACTCAACAACTTTGCCGCACCTGGACCAACGACAGTGCGAAATGACGGTGATGACGATTCCATAAAACCCAAGCAAAGCGGTGACAAAGTGAACCCTTAACCAAAACAAATCCAAAGCAATCATAGAAGGAAAGAGG